CAGACACGTTTTTCTTTAAATGATGGGCGATGAGCTGACTTCTCAGTAGGGAGTCAGGATTTAGATCAGAGGGGCCAAAGCAAAGTGAAATCTTAGGAACCGAAAAATTCAAAAAAAGAAATAGAAGAAAAAACAAAAAAATCTTAAAAAAAAAATTGTTGTGTTCATGTCTTGTATTCAACTAGAATTCGACTTGAAACAGTCATTTAAAATTTGACGGTCATAGAGGTGAGAACATTACAATTCCGTTTGATGATTTGTTTATTATTTTTATGTACCTGGGTCAGTGATTCCTAGGACATAACATAAATAACATCATGATGGTGTGTGGCCTAGGGAACCAATATGCCTACGTCCAAATCTGACGTCTGCTTTTTACTCATTGTGAACTTTAGCTAAACTAAGATTTATTTTTGTTTTACTTTCCTTTGTCTCAGTTTCTTGTGTGTAAAATGAGGACAATAATGCCTACTACAGAGCGTTGTGCAAAATTAAACAATTTAATACACAAAAAACAACAGGAAATTGCCAGCAAAGGAAGGACACATTAATAAGTGTTAACTATCACTTTTATTATTAGGACACTTCAGTATTTCCCTGGGAACTGAGCATTCGTGTCTGATGCTTCAATAAAACTGATTTATCTCTTACCTCAGCTCTTTCAGCAAGTCTTCTTTTGTTTTCTTTAATTTTATTTCTTCCTTGGCTAGATTTTGTCATAACGTTTTCAATGAGACCTCATATGGGTGCACTCTCTAAGGATTCGTTTTTCAGATTAGCAGTTGATTGCTCGTACACGTATGTGACCATCTCAACTGGTACAAAACGCATGTCACAGAGCCTTCCCCTCAGAACTGCCTTGTAAAGACAAAAGTCTTTGGTTCCTGGTTGGTGTGGGATGACAACCTTGGCTTTCTCTCACTCCTTCACCCTCACTTCTAACTGGAAACCTCTTAACTAGAATAGAAAAATGGTGTCCCCGCCTCTACCTGGCTAAGCCTTCAACTCCACTTCTGATAAAATGCAGTGTGAAAAGGCTTCCCAAGACCAATGCCAATGTGGTCTATTGTACATACATCACTGCATATAACCTACACTCACCCCCCCTTTTTTCCTTATTTCTGTAATACATCCCTAAAAATATGTAGGTAGCATCATTTCTAAGTTCTTATATTTCTGAAAAAAACTATATATTAACCTCTTAATGCAGTGATGGTTTAAATTCTATAAAATGTAGGTTCTCAATCAATTTTTCTTGGAAATTTGTGAACAGTGTTTTAACTTAGATGAGAATAGGGCATCAGACTGATTTGTTTCTCAGCCCAGAGTAGATAGGTGAACACTGAAGACAGATCTAAACAGCCAAAGAACATACATGCATGACCTATGGACATAGACAATAGTGTGTTGGCGAAGTGAGGGGAAATGCGGCCACTGTAATATGTCAACAATAAAGCTAAACAATCAAGCTAATGAATTTTTTTTCTCCTAAAAAATTAAAGACAGATCTAATTCTTCCTTTTTGTAAATTTCTTAAACTATTTTGTGCCTTAGTTTCTTCACCTATGAAATGAAGAGAATAGCAGAATTTGCTTTTTAGACCGTACATGTTAAGGGCACAGAAAAGTGCTTAACAATAGTAACCACTTGAACTGCTAGCCATTATCCTCAGTATTTGCATGTTTGAAAAGAACTCTATACAACTGATGTCATATTTCAAAAATAGCCTGTCGGAAACAGATTTTTAACCCCAAGCCATGTTACCTAGACTTATTATATTAATAATAATTGCATCATTCTGATTTACATATGACAAATGACCATATTCTCTTTTCTCCCAAATTAAACTTGCCTTAGCTTGGCTAATTAACTACTGAAACCTGGCTGCCCGCTTATGCAGAATTGAGTTGGAACAAATAGATTTCTGTTTGTTCCAGTGTGACCTGGAGCTGTTAGTCCGTGGCCAGATCTTCCGACACATGCACTTCCTGTCCTCCATTTATCACAGAGGCCAAACAAATGTGACCAATCAGAACTAGGAATCAAATCTGACAGTGGTGACACCACTAGGCAACATTCTAGTACTTTGTCCAAACTGCAGTACCATCTCCTCCCTGTCCAGGCCCCAAGCAGCCATTGGCCTTGGAGAGAAATCAGTTAAGTAGAAGAACCGAAGCATCTAGTCAAATAAACATCAATCAAAGGTGCAAGAAAATCCCGAATGCTTTTCAATTAAGCAGGATAATAACGTTTCACTGAGTCACATTTTTAAACAAAAAGTGAATGACCTATTGTTTCCTGAAATCAGACTGAGGAAGAAGTGAATGAATTATTTCACATGTGACTAAACCGTGAAACATCCATGAACCCCATAGGTCCCTCTCTGTTAGAACTCCATGAAATAATATAAAAACATGCCAACACACATACTCAAATAAAAAACTAAAGTCTGAAGCGAAGTGGCTTCAAACACCAAATGCATGATGAATTAGAGGGATGATTATTGGTCAGAATAGATTAATAATTAAGCTCAAGTCAGGCACTGAATTCCCGGATAGAGCCGTGGACTTGCTTTGTTCCTGAGACACGGGCTGCATCCCAAGTCCCAGCTGCCTCGGGAGTGTGTGCTATTGGCCAAGGGCGGGTGCGTGGCGGACGTGGGCGAAGACTTGTCCAATTCCATCACAATGATGGGAAGCGCTATTCCGAGCACATTCCCTGCTGGGGTGGGGGGTGGGGGGTGGGGGGGGGCTTCATCTGCATTTCAGCTGGGCATTGGGCACGCGTGTCTGCGAGACAGATGCTTAATGACGGTTCTTTGTGATGGTGATAATGAGGAAGGGAAGATACATTTTTAAACCCACATGCAGCTTTCCAGAGCAGGTGATTTTGAGAGGGTGAGATCTGTGCACAGCACGGCCAGCGCGTCGAACATTAGTTCTTGAATCTTTGGGGGCTTAACTTATAATGCACTTATTGCAGTTCTGATTTTGAAAAGCATGAATAGTCTTGATCCAGGATATAAATTATGGCTAAAATCATCACCAGGTCATCTCAGGGATATTTTATGTTTAAAGCCATTAACTATCCTAAAATGTTGATTTTTTTAAGTACAAAGGTATGCCACAAATATATTTTAAATCCATGTAATAGAGATATTCACCTCATACTGCTGATGCAAACCGGTTGTCATACCTATACATCTAGATGAATACAGTCAAGAGCCACATAACGTTTTGTTTAACTACGAACCCAATACTAGTATACGTCATTGGTCCCAAAAGATTATAATGGAGCTAAAATAATGCCTCCTGCCTCGTGCTGTTGTAGCCATGTTAACATCACAGGCAGCGTGTTATCTCATGTCTGTAATCATGCCCTGCCAGGCATATAACAGCACAGCACATACAATGACAGTGTCAGGCCAACCATCCAGATTTCTCCAGTGAACCCCGTGGTGCTTGCACAGTGACAAAATCCCCCGACGACACATTTCTCAGACCGTAGCCCATTGCAAACAGTTCATGACTCTACTTAAATACATGCATGTAGCTCTAGCCAGTTTTGCTGAGTGGATAGAGCGTCAGCCTGCGGACTGAAGGGTCCCAGGTTCGATTCTGGTTAAGGGCACCTGCCAAGCTGCAGGCTCAATCTCCAGTGTGGGGCGTGCAGGAGGCAGCCAATCAATGATTCTCATCATTGATGTTTCTACCTCTCTCTCCCTCTCTGAAATCAACAAAAATATATTTAAAAAATAAAATATAATATTTAAAATACTAATAAAGTATGCTTAAAAATAAATAAATACATGCATGTATAGCTCTCGTTATGCCTGGTTCCGCTGTACCCGTGTCTGAGTGCACCCTTCTATTTCAGTACTTCCTAATTAGTTTTCCTTCTTCCTCAATAAGTCAACTCCAGGTCAGAGCACAATTACAATTACGCATGATCTCTACGAGGCCTGCCAAGCAGATACAGGGCTCTACCTCGTCTTGTGATTCCCACAGTCTTTGCTCCAGGAAGCATCTGCATAAACTCATAACATCTCTCTCAAGTGCATTTACAACCTATGGCTGGCATGTCCTTGTACTTAGAAAGTAAACATTGTGGGTTAGTTAATGCCTTAAAACATAAGCTCCCCCTCTGACATTACTTGCTGGTGATTTTAGCCGTAACTTGTTGCTGGTAGGTCCTGGAGCAAGACTCTCAGTGCGTTTCACGCTGGTTTACATTTTCATTGTCAAAGCGGGATCCTCCCGGAGGAGAAATGACTGTTTTGTGTGGCAAAGCCAAGCGCTGGAGGTCTGCCCTTGCTTTCTGCCCCAATGCACACGCGCATCACAGCGAGGCCCCGGCAGGCGCAGTGACGGGCGGTGACAGTTTGCTCCATAGCTTTCCGCTTTGTAGGCGACAGAAAAATCAGCGCCCGCATGTCAGGGTGTGAGGGACACTCCTGCTTGACAGCCCTGGTCGTGGGACAAACGCTTGTGATTCGGTTGTTGACAGCATTCGGGGAAATGCCAGGGATGCAGTAAATATAATACAAATGAGAACTGTGTTTCTTCCTTTTCTTTCTTTTTTAATTTTATTGATTTCAGAGAGGAAGGGAGAGGGAGAGAGAGACACAAGCATCAATGATGAGAGAGAATCATTGATCAGCTGCCTCTTGCACTCCCCCCACCAGGGATTCAGCCACAACCCTGGCATGTGCCCTTAACCGGGATCGAACCTGGGACCGTTCAGTCCACAGGCCAATGCTCCATCCACTGAGCCACACCAGCTAAGGCTGAGAACTGTGCTTTCTTGCTTTTTCTGTGAGACTGAGGGGGGGTTTTACTTCTGTTTCTGTAGGCGATCCATTACATGTTATAGTGACACTGACTGAATGATTGATTGATGATTTTTATCCAACTATTAATTAAAATGGCTTATAATACATCTTTTTTAAGAAACTAGAGTGAAGTAAAACATAATAAAAATGCTGATCTGTAGAATCTTACCAGGTGAAGATAAGGCAAAGCAATGTAGATATCAAAATCAGAACTTGGTTAAACATTGCAGACTGTGTACGCTGAATGGCTCTGTGCAGATCATTCTGAAGGAAGACAGAGAAGCATATTTTAAATGTTGATAACTATTAAATATTCATGAGCTTCATTACACTTATTACTATGTAGTACATTTCAACTATGTTGTGCATACTCAACACATATGCTTTCAATGGATACATCAGCATATTTTCATTTTTGCCTGGGTCAAAACATACCTAACTAAATAAAAGATGTATCCATTAAAATTGATTTGAAGAGGAATATTTTATGACATAGGACCCTTTCCACTACATACTAGTATATCATAAAAGTTCAAATTATAAAGTGGAACATACAGTATGATAGAATGTAAGATATGTGTGTATTCATAGAAAATGTTAGGATATAAATTATTACTAGTAATTAGTCTGTGTGGTAGAATTGTAGGTTTTCATAATATTTTACTTTCTGGTTCCCAGTTCATGTCAAAATGTTTTGTAGTAAGCTGTTAATAGTCTTAAAATCAGTATAACAGGAGACCACGTCCCCAATATAAAATCCCCCAGAGCCATCATTTAATCTTCCTCCGCCACACATTTCACCAGAACTGTTATAAAAACAAAAAGCTAAGCTGAACAGAATTTCACCTCTCAACCCTCACTTTCTTCTGAGCAAACACAAAACCCAAACAAATACAAATTTAGCAACCAGGGAGAGGAAGAGAAGCAAAACATAGAAATACAATGGAAAATGGACCCTAAGTGAATACTGCACAGCCCTCGCCTATTCTCAAGGACTGAGGAGCCATTTCTTTCTTGGTAGGGCTGTTTTTGCCAACAACTAATAACACAATTTATTAGAGGTTTATTTTTTCCTGGTGCGTGTTTTCCATTAGCAAGTAGTCTATGTCTCTTTAGTGAAATAGGTTTATGTGTTTTATTTTGAACAGCTAAGACAGCTCAATGTTTCTGCAAAACACCCCACAGACCACACTCGCCCACGGTTTGGCCACGCATTTTCCTGAGCCTCCAGCGGTCACTAGCGTGGATGTTTAGAGACATTCATCCGGTGACAACTTCTCAAATGTTATCCAAATATTCCTCTGGGCCAAAACTTGGGTCATAATTTCTGTTTAAAAACGATTTAAAAGAAAAACAAGTTTGCCTCTGGAAAAATTTAATTTCAATGTAGTAGAAGTCATCATATTGAGCCCTTAGGATGTTTATGCCTTATATAGATAGACACACATACATATTTCTGTAAGTATATGTAATTTTATTTAATTCTCACAACAAGCTTGGTATGTAGACACTTTTATTCCTTTTGAAGATGAAGAAATTGGCAAAGGAATTGAATCTCTTAGCTATCCTATCAGAGTGATTAGCATATAGTGGACTTACATTAACATTTATGGAATGAATGACCCGATAGCAAATGTCTTAGAGCCAGCTCGCTGCTAAGCAGTGAGCTCTGCTGTAAACATATTTTGGTCCTAGTTATCCATCAGTCCTGCCCAGCAGGGTCAGCCTTGGGCAGAGCGAAACAGGGGCACACTCTGAACTCTGCATCTTTTACTTCTTGCTTCTGTTCGCCCCTCCTACTAGCCCAGTCACAACCCAACCAAAAGGAAAAAGATGGCTTTACCTGAGGAGCTTCCACCTCCAACATGGCGCCTTTTAAAACCCCACAGATTTTTATGAAATATGAGGCCCAGACAGTTACAGGGACTGAGGCCACGGCCTCCTGGATCCTGAGAACCAGGGCCCCATCATACACGAACAGGTCACCCAGAAAGGTGAGTTGTCTTCGGAAAGTGGACTCACTCATTGGACCCATTCACACAGCACTGGGCTTTGGACTGGTGATGTGTAGAAACTCCGAATCATGGTGGTTTACCAGTTCACAGGGCCTGACAAAGACGTAGCTTGGCCATGGGCTGTTTTGCAAGTTTCGATTCTGATTAGGGTACAAGCAGACTCTTGCTTACGTTCATTAGCTTAGACACCCATACAACACATCACTTGAATTATTTGATAGCATTTTACCAAAACTCTTTCATTTTTACATTCATCTAAATAAAACTATGTACTAAGATACTGAATTTATTTAAAAGAAGTTTACAAATAAAACGTCGATATTTACTTATAACTAAATAAATCCTAGTCATATGAATTTATACTCGTGAGGGAAAGCAGGATAAAAAGTAGTGAGGCAAAGATGTTGAGTCTTCGTCTCTCTCTCTGTTGAATGTGAAAAAGATAAAGAAATGTGATGATCTCAATGAAAGTAGGACATAGTGAAAGGTTGAAAAACATGTCTGCATTTGCATGTCACTTTCATACTTACAATCATATTTTCCAAGGCATGTTTGGCAAGCCAGCAGTTCAGAAAGACTGGGACAAAGAGATTCCTTAAAGCAGGCCAGAAAATCTGAAAAACAAATCAACACTAAACTTTTATCTCAAAGCAAAGAATCATATCCAGCAGATCGAAAAAAAAATGCAAAACAGAAAAAAAATGTTATTAAAGACAATTTAGCAACTTGGAACATGTGACAAATACTAGACTCATTAATAAAATGCAAGGAGTAGATATGATTTTTTTTCATTCATTGTCTGATTCTTACTTAGAGAAAAACTCTTTGGGAAATCATTACAGAAGAAGAAAGAAAATAATAAGCTCTCTGGGTGTCAGATATAATGATGCTAATACCATCATTACATCTCTTCCTGTGAGAGTTTGTAATAGACATCACCTCTTTCCTCTTTGCAACTTGAGGGGGGAAGTAGGAACAAGAGAAAACGTCGCCTTTAAACATTACCCCTCAGCCTCAGGATTCAAACATTCTAAGTGACCTTGGGGAACCACGTTTAATTGAAATGATATTTACTTAGCCATTCAATCTAATTCCAGTCGCTCCTCTAGGTAAATCACCCAGATTAAAGTAATTGTCAGAAGTGAGCAACCGTTAGACATCTACTCATTCTCATAATTTTCCAAATAAAACTCAAAGTGTGAGGGAGCACAATCCCCACAGACACCGTTGCAACTCTATCAAATAGGAATTAAAACCAGAGCGTGCAGTGCAAACGTGCCATTGAATGGGATCTTCAGGAAGTGTGTGCTCCGCCGACTTGGATAAAGAAGCAAATTGCTGGCTGTCTGGCTGCTGACAACTTCCTTATTAAAGAGATAATTAGTCAACCCTATGGTTAAACCAGAGATAAGTGCATTCTCGGTATGAGAAATGTTTATAAATAACTGGTTCTACTTGCTTTCTACACCTTTTAATTCCACCCTATACACAAGAAATGGAGTAATTTCTAGTTTGTTTCGGCAATATTAGCGCTTGATTAAATGGCACTTCTGCACCATATATTTCTAAGAAGCATTTCATTTTGCTGTTATACTAAGTCTCAGAAGTTTTTATTTAATTTCACAAGCCAAGTCCCCAACTGATTTTGCTATTTATTTGTTAATACAATGATTCTAATCAAAACCTAAAATCATTCATCTGAGCTAAATTTTGGTGTATATTTTTAGCACTTAGATTTAAAGACATTACTGAAGTCTAATGACAAAATTATCTTTTAAAGATTCTTTTAGGACTTACCGAGATAACGAAGGGAACCGCATTAATTATTTCCAAGATGAAGGGTATTCGTAAAATCTGCTCCCAGATGTTCCCCTTTCAAGAAAGAATAAGTAAAAATAAAAGTCAGTTATACCAAATCCAATTACAGAGGGCAAGGGCAGCATCTCAGAACTTGCCTAGCATTGAGGATGCTTACAATGGCAGAAGACTGAGTCATTACATTATATAAATGTGTGCAAAGGGGGAGGAATGGGGCCATCTGAAGTAGTGTCTACAAGACAAATAAAGTTAAAAAAAGATAAAGAAATGTGATGATCTCAAAAATAAATAAGTGAATGGGAATATTTTTTTAAAGGTATAGCAATAACTTTCAGAGATTATTTTTTCTAAATGCAATTGTGCCCTCTCAATTTTGTGGTAAGTTTAAGAAGCAAGCCCGGCCGGTGTGGCTCAATGGTTGAGTGTTGACCTATGAACCAGGAGGTCACGGTTCTATTCCTGGTCAGGGCATATGCTTGGGTTGCTGGCTCAATCCCCAGTAGAGGGTGTGCAGGAGGCAGCCGATCAATGTTTCTCATCACCAATGTTCTTATCTTTCTCTCCCTCTCCCTTCCTCTCTGAAATCAATTAAAATATTTTTTTTAAAAAAAGAAGCAAAACAAATGTTACAATAATCCTTGAATATTGCCCATAACATATTTGGATCCTATAATAATATTTCATGGAAGAAAAGTTACCAGTAAGAATAAAACAGACTAACAAAACCTACAGAATCAATGAAAAAGTGACTCAATATAATGTTTACTGTAATAAATATATTCACAAACTGTAAAGCATATAAAATAGTTCCTAAACACACCACTTGTTAACAATGTTCATTGGTATTAACACTGCTCTTACACCAAGAAACCACAACGGAAGAGGTTTTTCAGTCATCTAGATTCTACTCTCCCAACCCACATTGTGCAACGAAGTGAATCAGGCCTGGCCACATAATTCCCAGGGCCCAGTACGAGCTGCTCATAATATTGTCCCAAAGGTTTTGCACCAATATTTCCCCGAACACCCTACATTCTGGCCACACTTAAATATTAATTATCTTTCCATTTCATATGTGCATTCCTTCCTCTGTGCCTTTCTTAATTCCATAAACCCTATTGGCCTGCTTTTCACCTTTCCTTAGTGAAATCGCTGATTCAAGGACTCTGCGTAATCGGTCAAGTCCTTCCTTTTCATCCCATGATCTGGCCTCTCTCTCTGAGTCCCCATAGGACTCCATTTGCACCTCACTAAACAAACAAACAAACAAACAAACAAACAAAAACCTATCATCCTGCCTTCTGTATAACTTTTTCCTACCTAGCCCCACTTCCCGATTGTAAATTCACAGAAAACAAACAGATAAAAGCCAACGTCCAGCTTGGAGCTCTTCATCAGAGGCTCAGTAAGTATTGGTTAAATTGTGTTACCCAAACAAAGCTTTGCCAGAAATTAAGAGCATTCATTAACATGATCCCTAGTAGACATGCTTTTGCTCCCTCGATGTGTTTTGTGCGGATCAGGGAAGGAGGCTGAGAACAATAAAGACCCGGACCGCTGCCTCTGCTTGGCTCCTGTGAGCGTGCGCACAGTGGATCAGTTACCCCATAGGAATGAGCGAAGCCACCAAGGAGAACGTAACTATATTACTACAGTGTTTTTGTATCACATGCTAGAGAGGCCCAGAATAATTAAAGTGGTTTAAAAAGAGCTTGCTTTATCCCCAAAGTAGGAATTATAAAGAGAGGAAAGCTGGGTAAATATTAGTAATGTGTTCTATTAGCAAAAAAAGGCTAGTGAAAACAGCTTACCTTATAACTGAGATAACCAAGTAGTATGGTTTCAAATAGACTGATCAAGGCCACTAAAACCTAGAATATAAATTGAACCTTAATGAGAAAATGCAAAAAAATTAAAATAACATACATTCATGACTATAGTACTACACATTATAGGTAATATATATTATTTTCATGATTATTATCAATTTCAAAGTTAATAAATGTATTAATATGTACATGTATTTATATATATTTACATATATAGATATTTATGTGGCATATACATATATGCTATAGGGAGTGTTCTAAGGCTCTTTAGCTCATATAAGGTGGCGGGTGTCCCCAGCACGACAGCTTAGCTTTTGTCCTTTCTAATACTTTTTAATAAACCTTTTCTGACTTATTATCACCAGTGGAAATGTGGGGTGAGAGTAGTGAGGCTGGCTGGAGTTTGCATGACATGGAAAGAACAGGTTGTCTGGTGAGTGTTGTGCTAACACACACACGGTCACACACAACTGCCCGCCACAAATAACACCCCCGGAGCCTGCGGGTCATTCGCACAAAACAGCAGCACCTTCAGAAAGGAGCACGAGTTCCCGTGGAAGGATACGGTCCACCCCATCACCCGCCTCAAACAGAACTGTGAGCACCACACAAAATGGTCCGGCTCAACCCCTCAGGGCACGATTGGGATCACCAGCCACTTATGTGATTGTTCAGTTCATGGTGATTTGCTGAGATTCTTACCTGTTCCAGACACTGAGGACACAGGTAAAAAAGCAAACATGCGCCCAGCCGACCTGGCTCAGGGGTTGAGCATCAACCTATGAACCAGGAGGTCACAGTTCTATTCCCGGTCAGGGCACATGCCCAGGTTGAAAGTTCCATCCCCAGTGTGGGGCGTGCAGGAGGCAGCCGATCTATGATTCTCTCATCATGGATGTTTCTGTCTCTCCCTCTCCCTTCCTCTCTGAAATCAATAAAAATATAATTTTTTTAAAAAGCAAACGTGGAACTTGCCTTTGGGTGAGTTGTTCAGGGACTGTATAGCAGGAATAGGGAAAGTTGGTTGGGAAACGGGGCTGAAGACCCTGGTTGACATGGGTTTTCTCCAGGCCCTCAGCCGCCCTATGATCTCAGGGATGTTCTCAGAACAGAAAGCAGCGCTCGGGCAAACACCAACAAAAGGGCGAAAGGGTGAGTCTAAGGTGCACTCTGCTACTCTCCCGCCCTTGCTCTCTTACCCTCAAGATTCATTAAGCAAGAAAGCAAACCCATTTTGAATATCAACAGTTTCTCTCGAATAGTATTTCTCTGGGAAAGAGGGATACATCCAGAAATAGAGGGAGAAAACAAGATGGCACATAACCTGCAGGCCCCATAAAGGCAGACTTCTGTTCACCCAAAAGATATGAGACCTGTGAAAAGAATAGTAAGATGTTACTTTTTTTAAATGTGGGAAAGGCATTCAGTTTAAAATTGTGCTTGAGGTTGGAAACATTTAAATAATGGTAGCATAAAGGGACGATAAAATATCAAAATTAACATGAGAAAAGCTTTATACTCTTCGTTTTCTTTTTAATAATAATATCCATTTCTATCCCAGGAAATACCCTTTTTAATTTCATTTTCAGGCTCATATTAATAATAAAAGAAAAGATTAATGGGCCTTTATTTAAAGAGTGGTTATGGCAAGGTACAAAAACCTCAAACCTTTTATTAGTCGAATTCTCCATTAAAAATTCACTTAAGGATCTTCTATAAGCTCTAAGATTTTGTTAATTTTACAGCTGTTACTATTTAGCAATACAAATTCAACAGTGCTAATAATCCAAATAACTCAGATGATAGAGCACATTAATATTCCACATTTGGATTTATATAAAATATCTAACATCTCACCAAAAACCTGTGACTGAGGATAGCATAGAACATTATACAGGACAAGGAGTGACTGTCCTTAACTATCTCTTAAAAATCATTTCAGCTTTGACGTCAAAAATTATTTATACTCTACCAAGAACACCATGGCTTTACTAAAAGCTAGTTTTACCAAGCTAACAGTATTTTCTTTGATCTGGGATGTTGTTTTCATAGGTCTTGAAATATCGTAGAGCATTTAAATGTAAAGAAGACCTTGAAGAAAAATGTTTAGACAAGACGATGTCATATAGACTAAGTTTTGTAATCCTAAAAAAAAGGCATGTCTACAAATCTCAGCTATATAAATTTCAATATATAGTGAGACTGAAAGTCCTATTCTTCACTCATTTACTAAGCACTAAATTGGATAAATGCATGGAAAGAAATGTATAAATTCTAATAAAAAAAAACTAGTGCCCCGACTGTCCTTTATAAATTAGATGTATCATGAAGAAAAAAACATATAGGACTGATTTGTGCATTTTCAGATAATGTCCAAAACAAACGAGGAGGGGAGCCAGCTGGCAGCCAGCCCGTCATCCCAAATGGAGCTTCAGTCCCATTGACAAAAGCCTGAGTAGGAACACACCACACCCGGTGCTATGTCAGGCTCTGGTTTGAAATGCATCCCAGACCCCTAACACACAAGCACCGTTGCGGCTGCATACCTTTGTGTCTCTCAGCTGATGTTAAAAACTAAGAGTCACTTTCACAGTTTTAAAGTGGGAAGGATGCATAAGTTTTGGGGTGTTTTTTAAACATATTTTAAAATATATGTCGCGGTGACAGAAGCATCAGAATTTCCTCGGGCTTTTGCAGATGCTGCAGATGTGAGGCCAGAGGAGAAGCTGAGGACTCGGCGGCTTTGGCCCCACAGCTGTCAGGATGGGGCTGCAGGCGGAGCAGGGGGTGGGTGAGGACCGAGCTGTCAGGCGCTGATTTGGGGAGAGCGCAGAAGAAGCCAACCGGAACGGGGCCAATTGGAATGACATCCAAGTAGGGACACTGAGTGCGCAGTTAGAATGCGATCGGTGAGATACGCAGCCATAAAAAGCAGAAAAAGATCAGTACCAGGTATGGGGCCAGGTGGGTTCTGGAAATATTGGGGGACCACTTTGTAGAGAATAGGGTTGTCTAACCATGATGCTGTACACCTGACACTAATACAAAATAATATTGAATTTTAAAAAACACACACATGTATTTGATTAACTTTTTAAAAAAGTACTGAGGGCCTCTGGGAGGAGTACAAGTGGGAGAAAATTGGGGAAATAGGGTTAAGTGTATATTGAAGGGAGTAAGAGACATGAAACAAGTGGTCCAGTGGCAGAAGGGGCAGGAACATCAGAGCATGCACTCTTTTCACGGGTTGAAAATTCCCTGAGGGGAGGCAATGTTGCTCTCCCGGCTGTGTCTCCTTTCGCAGTCTGACAAACACAGGCTAACCACCCAACAAAGGTATTCGGAAATGCCCACCAGCCTTCAGTAAATAAACTGTTTCCTAAAGAAGCAGCACATCGATGATCACACCATCGAATTGCTCTCAACTTTCTCCGGACCCTCTAGCAAATGCGGAATCCCCTTCACTGTCCAATCAAACAGAAGAGTAAGCCAGGCATTTCCGTGCTTAGCATTTCTATTTTATTTTCATCCTTTTTATTTTATTTTTTATATTTTCTTAGGGCAAAACTCCACAGGAAAATAATAGTAATAATTGTACAGAGAGGTTCGCCATCGGATTCGCTTTCTGCTTTGAAATTATGTGAAATTTGGGAGGCTGGGCAGGGGCCCAGGGTGGTAATCGGATCAGAATGATCCATGTGCCTGCACACCTGGCCCCTTCCCTGCTGCTTCCAACGGAGGTAGAGACTAAAATCCATCACGTACAGCAATGCAGTTAATCAAAGCAGCACAATCATGAATAAAAAATAAGTTAAATCGATAAGCCATTTAACTCAAATAAGATCAAGAGCTACACATGCGAACTGTGCACTTGACATCGTCATGGGTGCTGGAGTGATTCTACTCAAGAGTGCCAGCTGGTCCTAACCGGTTTGGTTCCGTGGACAGAGCGTCGGCCTGGGGACTGAAGGGTCCCGGGTTCAATTCCGGTCAAAGGCACAGGCCTGGATTGTGGGCTTCATCCCCAGTAGGGGGTGTGCAGGAGGCAGCCTATCAATGATTCCCTCTCATCATTGATATTTCTCTCTCTCTCCCTCTCCCTTCCTTTCTGATATCAATAAAAATATATTTTAAAAAAGAGTACCAGCTAGACTATCACTGGAAATACCTACACAGCTGGTATACAGTAGAGTAACATATATAAAGAAAGAACAGAAAGGTGGTGAGTGTTTAAAGAGACAGACCCATATTAAACCATTACTTACAGTGCTTTGATTAGCAGTAAAAACTTTATGGGCGGTTGGCATAAAGTGATTACATCCACAGTGTTATTAGCATTAGAGGAGTAGATAAAGAATATAAGCAAAGATGTTTGAAAAGAACGTACAAAGGTGCTATTCATGTGCTAAGACAGATCAATACCCAGAACATCCTTGGAAAAAATTAATTCTATGTAACATCCTTTAAAATTATAACACAGTTCCAAGTAATCAAAAGACTATTGTCGAGGGTCAGACCGAAATGCCTTACCATTCATTTCCTTGTGAGGGACTTTCCAGCAGCACTCGGATGATGTATAACAAGCAGCTTAATAATTTGAGAGAAAAATTGAACAGGCGTATTCTTAGACCTTCAAACAAACAACAGAAATTGGGTTTTCATTGGAACTTAGTCCAAAAAAGAGACTAAAAAGACTTATCAAAAACATCATTAAGTACAGCACTTAGATTGTATTTAGAAACTTCAGTGCCATCATCGTCTACACTCTCTGAAGTTCAAGGGAGCTGAATGTTAATTACCTGAATATGGAAACCAAGGGTGTGACTGACAGATGCTTGAACAGCAAATGACAGCTAACACTATACGCGGAGAGTGGGTCTAGTTCTCACAGAAGCCACAAAAACCATGTCCCATAAAGAGAGGTTCATGCCCTGACCAGTTCGGCTCAGTGGATGGAGCGTCAGCCTGCGGACTCAAGGGTCCCAGGTTCGATTCCGGTTGGGGGGCATGTGCCTGGTTGCGGGCATATCCCCAGTGGGATATGTGCAGGAGGCAGCTGATCGATGCTTCTCTCTCATCGCTGTTTCTAACTCTATCCCTCTCCCTTGCTCTTTGTAAAAAATCAATAAAATATATTTAAATAAAAAAAAAAGAGTGGTTCAGATATGCTTAGTGGTTTAAGCATTTCGCACATCCATGAATTTGGGGGTAAATTTTAGCCGGCTAGAAAATCTACCTGCTTGCACAGTCACAGGATAAGTTATAAGTCTTGTACCTTCAGGATACCTTGTAGATTTTAATTATAGGGAAATTATAATCACGTCTATAATTATATATTATACTCTAGCTTAGTAATTAGGAAATTACAGAGAAATCATTATAGAATATTCTGGGAAGTACACACACCATTTTTGAGTTTGACCAGTTGAAGCTTACTTTTCCCTTTAGATTAAATATCAGTGACGTCTTAATATTTTGGAGGGAGAGGGGATTAAGATTGTCATGTATATACCCTGCAAAACCATATAGATCATAGTTATGCAGCCTGTAATACTTCATGATGATGAAAAAGAGCAATTAAGATTAAGCAAAACATGCTTCAAGTCTGATTAATAGAAGCGTTACCTTTCCTGCAATATTCAGGCAATATCTGATTCGCGCCTTATGAATAAAAGGGAGAGAAAGGCCTTCCTGTAATTACTAGTGAATACAATCTGGAAATGAAATGTCATTTTCTTACTCGGCTATCTGTGAGTGCATTTGAGGTGACCTTTCTTTTTAAATTAAATTGATTGGGGTGACATTAGTTGACATAATCATATAGGTTGCAGGTGTGGGTTTCTGTTACAGGACCTGTATATCGCATGGGGTGACGTTTCTTAACAGTAGCAGGTGAATGCTTATCAATTGGGCAGTTTTCCTAGGCTTTGCTATCACAATGCTCCATTCATTCATGTCATGGCTTTAGCTTCTTTAGAAAGTCTTTTAAATTGTTCATGAAATCGCCCTGCTTCCATAGACCTGGTCTCCCCAGATGACTGCTTAGTCAAAGCTGGCTGCCGCTTAAACAGTCACATCCTGCATTTACCCTCTCTCGCCTGGAGATAGAGGATTGTTAGTATCAAAACAGAGGAAACCTTTGATTCCGAAGGTGTGGGCTCCATGGAAATTGTAAACCCGCAGATGAGAGAGGCATTCGTTATCATTAGCCTTAACCCCGAAGCTGACCTACCATTGACTCTCTCACCAGTGCGTCTTAAACACTGAAATGCCCCCTATCTTCAGCATTTGGACAATTGCTCACAACTCAGGATGCTCCCTGTGAACCCTACAGAGGAATGCCTTAATGAAGACCACCCCAAGAGGATTCAGGGCTCCAGACTCAGAGAGGGCGAGGTCTACACCCATCTCATAGAGACCAAGCAACGATTGTGGGAAAACTGCATCTTGGCTCATTATATGTGGCTTCAAACAATACATGGTATGCCCGGCCGGTGTGGCTCAGTGGTTGAGCATCAACCTCTGAACCAGGAGGTCACAGTTCGATTCCCAGTAGGGGCACATGCCTGGGTGGCAACCTGTCCAGTTCAGAGCAGTTTCTTTCTCATCAAGCACGATTGGCAAGCGGTGAGCTCTTCCCCCGTGGAGTCAGACAGCTATTTCCCGATAGGATCCGTCAGAATCACAAGAACCTTCTCATAATAAGCTGAGTCCCCTCACAGATAAGCCGTGAGGCCCTCTCATTTCAACCCTTTCCCCCAACGTTTCCACTGACCCCAATGGCTCACCCAGAATGCTACCTATGGATGTGGGATCTGGACAATGAAAGGTCTGCAAGAAACCGTAACACCCACAGATGGGAACTCTAGTTCTCTATCATTTAACTGCCTGGCAGACAAGATTCTCAATTGTTTGCTCTATTTAAATGATATTGTTCAGAAGGATGGCACTGGAACTGTTGGAGGTAAATAGATGTACAAACACATAGAGGAAATAAAGCAGAGGACTTACTGGATCGCTGATTTTTAATAAAAAATAACTTTAGTCTCTCTTTAAATGTGTTTTCATTCATATAGAATTCAACTTGGACCCTGAAAACAGAAAATAAAAACACAATTAACCTGATGAATATATAAGGGGTAAAAACAGCATTTGCCATACTTATATACTTTAACTAAATCCCTAACACATGAGAGAGAGAGAGAGAAAAAGAGAGAGAGGGGGGGGGATTGGATAAAATACTGAATTTTTTGGAGAGAAGCAGTTAGTTTTAAAGACATACTTCAGATGTCATTTGTAATTAAGTCAATTATTTTTATTAGTGGATGTAATGAGTGCTGTGGATAATTCCAAACAGCAGTAATACAAAAAAAGTCATTAATATGTGTCCATGGAAAAATTTTGAGTCGGCGTTTTTCCAGTTTTTGTCCGCATCCTAAGAATCAACCGAAGGCCTGAAAATTCAGTTGCAGCAAAACCACACAGAAGGGCCTCATCAAAGTCTCAAGGGGCGGGGCCTAAAACATACTTTCAACAAGTGGTTCCCTTCACCTTGAAACCACACCACAGGACACCTTACCTTCTCATTGATGTCGGCCTGTTTTAAAATATACGCAGGCCGAAACCGGTTTGGCTCAGTGGATAGAGCGTCAGCCTGCGGACTGAAAGGTCCCAGGTTCAATTCCGGTCAAGGGCATGTACCTGGGTTGTGGGCACATCCCCAGTGGGGGATGTGCAGGAGGCAGCTGATTGATGTTTCTCTCTCATCGATGTTTCTAACTCTCTATCTCTCTCCCTTCCTCTCTGTAAAAAATCAATAAAATATATTTTAAAAAAATAAAAAATAAAATATACACAGGGCAGGGAAGGAGTGGGATGCCAAATAGAATGTGAAAGTCAACACAGATAGAAACCAGACAAGTCAATGATGATACTGAAGCATATATATTTAATCCTCTCTAAAATATCAGAAAAATAGCATTTAGGTAATGAATGCATTCACTTTCCCCTAAATTATTTCAATCTGCCTTTCGTGCCCTGGCATAATGAATATTTTCAAAATGTGGAGTGAAGAGAAAAATTATGTTCCGTGCACGCTGACTTGTTAATAATTATCATTGGAAATTTTCTTCGTCTCAAACGCATGTATTATACATTAGGATTGCAAAGGCAGCTAAGAAAGCATTTGAATGTTTATACAAACACGAAGATTTCAGTTTTCCTAATATCAGAAAATTTTGATAATGCAACCCATAGAAACTAGATAGTTTGATAGTTTGGGGGTTTGGAGCAGGAACACCCCTGAGAGATAAAACTGGAGGGAAACTTAACATATGAAGATGCTCATCTATTATAGAACTACGTCACTACTATGTGCTGTATAGTCAAGAAGATTGATGAATATTTTAACAACTGTCCCCTATGCCCTAAAAGTAAAAGGTTTTTTGTTATCTATTGTTATCTGCTATTCCTTAAAAAAAACTGGAAAGCTCTCTAACTCTACCTCTAGCCCTAAAAGAAGACATTTCCATGCATCAACATATTTCCACCATTTCTTAAAATTTATGTGCCTGCCACCTTTCCTCTTTCACTCACCTTATATGTTAAGTGAAAAAGGGTAGAAATCAAGACTCTCTTGTTACTATCTCTAGAAAGAAACCCTGGAAATTGCAATACCTTCCAGCAGAAAGCTATGTGCCCGCACACACCCCCCCCAATCACATACACACACATACACAAACCCACACACTCACAGGTGCTACACGTACACCCACACACGTACACAGTCCTCCCTCAGTCGCTTGGAAATCCTTCACTGGCTCTGTTTCCCTTGTTTATCAAATAAAAAGGCCGTTCGTTTTAAATACAGTGACTGTAATACAGACATCAAGCTAAATTAGTTCAAATCTGCTGTGGATACAGAAGCAAATTTGAGCAGACATGTGGCTATTACACCAGTAATTCAGCCAAGGCCATGTCGGTTTGCTTCCTTGAATTATCAAATTTATAAGAACCTGAGTCCATTCCTCACATACTAGCTGGCGTTCAGTGCTGGCTCTCTAACAAGAGGTGCAGTTTTAAACTAAAGTTGGATTGTCTACAGCCTTGCTCAAAATAACGAGGAATCTGGAAGGCATCCCATCTGAGAAAAAGTTGAAGGAACTGGAAATGTGTAGTCTAAATAGGAAGAGATAGCAGGTGTCTTTAAATATTGAGGTGTTCGGCATTATTGCAACAAGATAACCCATAATGTGACACTCTATTGTATAGAACGATCAGAGAGAAAGAGAATTTGGAAGGAGCTTTCCCAACTTAGAAAAGGCCAAGACTGGAGTAGAGAGCTCTCCATACATATAAATGAGATAACAGCTTGCAAGCAAATGCTCTGTTTCCTGGGGGTAGAGACAATTTTGCATGGTGTGAGGTCTCTCAATAAATAAATTCCAAGTTCCCGTTTTTGTTATAATAATCTGGGAAGTAAAACAGTAAATCTAGTGATCTCTCCGAGTTTATCTTCTCTCTGAGGATCATGGATGACATTAAAGTATGGATCGGTACAAATGTGTTTTAAAGTTAAAGCTAAAAAAATAAAATATGAAGCAGAACACTTTTTGATCCATGTCTTCTGTCGAGGGCAGAAAAATACCCTTTAGGTTTACGATTTATAATATAGAGTGGGGCGTTCTTTTATTTGATCTAATGACCGTTCTTACCAGAATCAAGGCCAGTTAGTGTTAGTGTAATCTTTTGGGACTTTCTCCAGCACCATACAGTTCTCTGGTACTCAAGACTTCAGTACAGAACTCAGTGTTTATTCTTCTCAATTCTGTTCACGATTTTTATTGGTTTTAAATATCCTCTTAGTATTCCCTTTTCTGGGTATAAATGTGCTTGTCTTCCCTCTGTCCTTATTCCTTCTGACCTCCATATTCCCATATAACTTTATCTGAATTTTTTTATGCCTATTTCTTAGGTTTTGGGGGCAGACAGTCATTCCGTCTGGAACTCTTCTCCAATATTTCTATTTACATTTTATTGTTCTTGTCTTATTACATTGACTAGCACTTTTAAAAGAGAAATATCAACTATGGTGTTCATACTCAAAGGAGAAGACCCCTGTGCCTTCACATTGAAATTGTTGACCCTGGAATTGCAATAAATATATTTTACTAAAAATCATGTTAGAAGTGGATGGATGTTCATTGTTGTCAAAAGCCTCTCTTGACTCTGTCAAGTTGGTGGGCCTATTGTTGGAGGTATTTTTCACAAATAATTTGGTGAATTGCTTTAACAGGCTTTCTATTATGCAGTTATGTTTTTCAATTCTGGAATAAGTTGTTTTTGTGAATTAGTCAGGTAATGTACTGCTGGATTCATTTCCTATATGTTAGGAGTTTTTCTTCTAGAGTCATAACTAAGATTGATCCAAGCTGTCACCTTTAGATCATTTTAACATCTTCAAGTACGAACTGAAAAATTCTCCTGATATTTCTACGCTCTGGAACAATTTTGAATCCTGTAGAGATTTATTTTTATTCACCATCATCAATTTGCCCTAACAGTATCAACTGCCTTAATATTAATTTCCTGTGTGATTTTTTTCCCCATTTTCCTCTCATTCTCTTGCCCTGGTTACTTGAATTTAATGTAAAAATCGTGCAGAGTCTTGTTAAAATGCAGTTTCCTTGCTTCAGCTTTAAAATTCTTGTGCCGTCTCCTTAAAGTAGGCCTTACCATTTTAGCAACAAAGAACATTAATTCTGGCCCAGCTTGTCGATGCATTCTTCTTTTAGAAACACTATTTTGCCTTTTCAATTGCTAATGCCCTGGACACCGTTCAGGAAGCCAAACTTTTGCAGACATTCTCTTCTGGAACGCGTGGCAGATATAGATCCTTATCAAAGTGTTTCTCCTCTGCGTCTAACGGGTGCTAGTCCCTTCCTACTGCTTCTGACTCTGCAGTATCGGTCCTTGCATGAATTCTGTGACTATACTCAGTCTCCCTGGCCTCAGCAGGTAGGCTCAGTGGATGCACGTAATTTCTACTTTCTCACTGTTTATTTGTGAGTGGTTTTCCCTTGGAAAAATCTACATGTGGCCCTAACCTGTTTGGCTCAGTGGATAGAGCGTCGGCCTATGGACTGAAGGGTCCCAGGTTCGATTCTGGTCAAGGGCATGTACCTGGGTTGCGGGCACATCCCCAGTAGGGAGTGTGAAAGAGGCAGCTGATCGATGTTTCTCTCTCATCGATGTTTCTAACTCTCTCTATCCTTCTCCCTTCCTCTCTGTAAAAAATCAATAAAATATATTTAAAAATATATATATTTTAAAATTCTAAATGTGGATGGCAAGCTACCAGCCCCAGCTCCCAGTCCAATTCCCCTTCCTAAGACCTTCTCACCTGGCGTCGTTTCTGTGTGTTTAAATTGTGGCACCCTCCTGTGCTTGGTGCTCTGACCTCCATGGATAAGGAGAAAAGGCCACGTCTCTCCACGTGCCATTGCCAAGTTCTCTCACTGTTCTCACCACCACGTTTTAGGTTGGGAGTTCAACTTATGTGAATTACACCTTCCCACACCTTCCTATGAGTGAACCCCTGTTTTCTCTAAGGTCGTTGTGATGTGTCCAACTATCCCCCCCCAAGAGATACTTTGAAGTCCGTAACCCCTGGGACCTTAGCATGTGAGCTTGTTTGGGAATAAGGCCATTACAGACATAATTAGTTAAATTCAGATGAGGTCATATTGGAGTAGGTTGGGTCCCTAATCCAATAAGAACAGTGTCTTTATAAGAAGAACGAAATTTTTAAAAATATCTATATTTTTATTGATTTCAGAGAAGAAGGGAGGGAGAGAGAGAGAGAGAAACATCAATGATGAGAGAGAATCATGGATCAGCTGCCTCCTGCATGCACCCCACTGGGGATCGAGCAAGAAGAAGGAAATTGGGGCACAGACGCAGACACTGAGGGAAGGTGGTCATATAAAGAGAGAGGGGGAGATCAGACCTACCCAGCCACAATCTAAGAAATTCCTGGGCTCCCCGAGGTTTAGCAAATACTTAGGGAAACATTTACTCTACTGTTAATTCA